TGTGTGTGATTGTCAGTACGTATCTGCCAGTGTGTCTGTTGGGGAATGTGTGTGTATCAATTCAGTGAGTTTGTCTGTCAGTGACATCTGTGTGGTTGTCATTGAGTATGTGTGTGTAACTGTCAGTGTGTGCTTAAAGGGACACTAAAGGCACCCAGACCACTTCAGCTCATTAAGGTGGTCTGTGTGCAGTGTCCCACTCCCCTTTACCCTTTAGGGGTTAACTCCTACCAGTTGGTTAGGCGACCAAAAGTCACCTAACTGATGCTGGACATCCTCACGCTTTGCATTAGGACATCAAGCATCTGCTAAATCCCCATAGGAAAGAATTGATACAAAATTCTTTCCGATGGGGACAGGGCCGTCTTTAATAACGAATGGACCCTGGGCAAGTGTTTGCTTGGGCCCCCTGTGCCCTGCCGCTCTCGCCCCTCACTCCCTGGTATGCAATCATGGCATCCATCCCAACGCAGTGGCGGTACTAAAGTAGAATGAATTTTATTGGGACCCCCAATTGCAAGGTTGGACTAAAGGTAGAACCCCATCTGTCGTGCAACTCAACAATGCTTTGACAGCTGGGACTCTACCAATTTCCCATGCTTGCAGGGTTGTATTTAGCACTGAGCCATGTTAGTATGTTTGAATGTAAGCATGTGTTTGTATGGGGTATGTTTGTGTGAATGTGTTTGTATGTGGTACTGGAGTTTGAATGCAAGTGTGCATTTATGTGTAGTGTTTGTTTTTGAATGTAGGAGTGTGCTTGTATGTAGTGTTGACGTTTCAATGCAGGAGTGTGTTTTATATGTAGTGTTGAAGTTTGAATGGAGAGGTGTATTTGTATTTAAAGTTGCGGCTCAGATGCACAGGTACACACTCTGACGCACAAGCAGATACACAGATACATACACTGACTACATACAGATAAACAGGCACATACACTGACAGACACACTGACACAGGTACATATATTGACACACACACAGGTACATACACTGGTAGGCGTACTGACAGACATACTGACACAGGCACATATACAGACATACTGACACACACACACACATACACTGATCAACATACTGACACACACACAGACACATACGCACAGTCAACTGACACACACACACACAGACACATACACTGATCAACATACTGACACACATACACTGACAGAAATACTGACACCCACACACTGACAGATATACTGACACCCACATACACTGAGAAATACTGACACACACACACAGGCACATGCACTGACACACACAGACTGATATACTGACACACAGACATATATACTGACACATGCATACACATGCACTAACAGACATACTGACGCACTGACAGACATACTGACACACACAGATATACACACACATATATACTGACACACAGACAGACAGACATACTGACACACACACACAGACATACTGACACACACACAGACATGCTGACACACACACACATACACTAACACACACATACACTAACACACAGATACACTAACACACAGATACACTAACACACAAACACACACACTAACACACATACACTAACACACATACACTAACACACACATACTAACACACACATACACTAACACACATACACAAACACACACACTAACACACATACACAAACAAACACACTAACACACATACACTAACACACAAACACACATAAACACACACATACATACACTAACACACAAACACATACACTAACACACACAAACACACACACCAACACACATACACCAACACACACAAACACACACAAACACACACAAACACACACACACCCAACACACAAACACACATAAACACACATACATACACCAACACACATACACCAACACACACAAACACACACACCCAACACACATACACCAACACACACAAACACACACAAACACACAACCAACACACAAACAGACCAACACACACATACACCAACACACACATACACACCACCCAACACACATACACACACACTAACACACATACACAAACACACACACTAACACACATACACTAACACACAAACACACACACCAACACACATACACTAACACACACAAACACACACATACATACACTAACACACACATACACTAACACACAAACACATACACTAACACACACATACACTAACACACAAACACTAACACACACAAACACACACATACACACACACAAACATACACTAACACACAAACACACACACACTAACACACATTTTTTGCACAACCCCAGCCCCACCTTTGGAGGCTGGGGGATTCCCCTGGGGTCCAGTGGTGCTGCTGGGCTCCTGGGCGGTGGCCGGTCGGGCAGGAAGGCTACGGCATGGGAGCACTCCACTGGTGCTTCCTCTTCAGCTCCCTCACACACAAGGGATGCCAAGGCGCTCGAAGATGATCGCCATCTTCCCGGCCCGCCCGCATCAGTGCGGTGCGCCAGGAGCTGAAGAGGAAGCAGTGAGTGCTCCCTCGCGCGCCCGCCTTCCTGCCCGACCGGCCACCCGCCCGCCGGGGTCAGCGGGGCCCACGGGGCAGGTGCCTCGGGCCCCCCAAGAGAAACTGGGCCCGGGGCAGCTGCCCCGTTTGCCCTGCGTTAAAGACGGCCCTGGATGGGGAAGCCGAATGCAAGCGCGAAGGAGGAGCCTGACCCATCGCTGAGAGACATCAGTACTGGATTCAGGTAAGTGACTGAAAGAGTTTTAACCCCTTCAGTGCCAAGTAGGGGGGGGAGAACATGAGGGAGGCGGGGGCCATATAGGGAATTAAAGTGCCAGGAAAACTTTCCTTGCACTATAGTATCCCTTTCTAAAGGAGTAGGAAAAGGTGGAGTCTAAAGAGGAAGGGGTGCAGTCTTAATCAGGAAGAGGAGCGGCCTTGACCGGTAGGGGTGGGGCAAATTTAGATTAGGGGTGCCCAAGTTTAATCATGCCTAGGGCAGCACAAAACCTAAATACACCACTGTCTGTGTGTGTATGTGTCAGTGTGGGTATCTATGTGTATCTGTGTGTCAAGGTCTCTCTGTGTATCAGTGAGTGTGTGTGTCTGAGTTTGTGGCAATAATGTCAACAGTACATACAAATACACCCCTGCATGCACACATACTCTATACAAAAACATGCTTACATTCAAACGTACAAACACTTCTCACAAATACAGCCCTGCAAGGATGAGAAAATTGTAAATACCCTGCTGGCATAGCATTGTGGGAGTTTGACAGATGAGGGCCTTCCTTTTGGTGACAATTGTCCTCTAGGGACCTATGTCACAGTGCCTTACAAGTCTTTGCCCATTGTCTGCCTTTCTGGGATCAGGGGACAATTCTGTCAGGTAGAACTGCATTCAGCTTATGTGATAATTTAGATATTGACATATTTTTTTAGGTGCTGGAAATTCCAAATAGTGAGACCTAAACTCCTCAGACTATCGCAACCAATGTTCTTATGCTAAGTAGCTGTTATGCACATTTGCATACCAGTAAAAGCATGTGCTATAAATGACATCAGCAGCTTCCAACTACATGTTCAGATACCTGATAAGTAGTGATGTCCCGAACGGTTCGCCACGGACTCATCATTGAGTAAACTTTGACCCTGTACCTCACAGTCAGCAGACACATTCCAGCCAATCAGCAGCAGACCCTCCCTCCCAGAACCTCCCACCTCCTGGACAGCATCCATTTTACATTCATTGTGAAGCTGCATTCTTAGTGAGTTGTCCAGGAGATGGGAGGGTCTGGGAGGGAGGGTCTGCTGCTGATTGGCTGGAATGTGTCTGCTGACTGTGAGGTACAGGGTCAAAGTGTACTCAATGATGAATCCGTGGCGAACCTTTCGCGAACCGTTCGGGACATCACTAATGATAAGACATTACCAGATATGCCATGTTCTTTTTATTTCCACAATCCGCAAAAAAAAAAAACACTTACATATCTACAATTACACTATATGTGAATTTATGTAACCTGAAACCTGTGTATATTTTGGTACTAAATATATATATTTTAAAAACACCTTAGCGTTCATCATTGATTTAAAAAAAAAAAAAAATACCTTTATGTACCTATGCGATTTCATGAAAAAAATACATCACTATACCATTTTCTGTGTGTGCATTTTTGGTCCATCATCAGCACAAGATACAGCCAAGATATAAAATCCCCTCCAGTGATATAATAGATTGCTTCTGGGAGAAGTGTATCTTTGGAAACTTGACCTACAGGTCATATTAAAGTTTAACCAATGAAATATGGGTTATACAATCAATCAATATATCAATATTCTAGGAGCACTTTCTTGGAGGAATGACAATAACAAGTTAGCAGTTTTTTTGTGAGCATTCCAAGTGGGAAAACAGTCTGGTTAGTAATCATTTAAAGCCAGATATTATTTTTATCCTTTGAACCACATCAACTTTCTATTTTCTCAGCAATATTTCTTATTGTTAGTATCATCATCATTAATAAGACTGTATGGACTGAGGGTAACAAATTTATTTATTTATATATTTATATAAAATTTTACCAGGATGGATACATTGCGATTTCTCTTTTTTTCAAGTATGGCCTGGGTCCACAAAACATTGCATTGTTACAATAGGATACAATATTACAAAAATACAATATACAAACAATCTAGAGATATATACACTAAACAAAATTAAAAATGCAACATTTTTGTTTTTGCCCCCATTTATCTGTCTAAATCTGTGTTAGTGAGCACTTCTCCTTTGCCGTGATAATCCATCCACCTCACAGGTGTGGCATATCAAGGTGCTGATTAGACAGCATGATTGTTGCACAGGTGTGCCGTAGGCTGGTCACAATAAAAGGCCACTCTAAACAATATTTGAGAGAAATAGATCTTTGAGTTCAGCTCTTGAAAAATGGGGGCAAAAACAAAAGTGTTGCGTTTATAATTTTGTTCAGTGTATATATATACACTCATATACACATATATAAATTTAATACAGAACAGGTAATAAATATATTCAACCATAAAGATTAGTTAAGAAGATTAAGAATTGTGTAAATTTTCCTACACATATAAAAAGGACAAAAACAAATATAAGGCCAAAAATAACCCAGAAGCAACAACAGAAAAAGAAAAGAAAGAAGAAACATGTAAAAGCCTATTGTGTTCTTAAATTTCTAAGAAGAAGCCATTAGGGATACAACATATCCCCCTCCATAAGGCATTTATGGGATAAATGCAGATTCCTCCTAACTTTATTTAGAAAATTGTATAAACGTATTGCTCTTAATTACCAACTTAGCTGTGTTAGTTTCATTCTCCAAAAACTCAAAACATGAATGTAGAAACATAGAATGTGACGGCAGATAAGAACCATTCGGCCCATCTAGTCTGCCCAATTTTCTAAATACTTTCATTAGTCCCTGGCCTTATCTGATAGTTAGGATAGCCTTATGCTTATTCCACGCATGCTTTAACTCCTTTACCATGTTAACCTCTACCACTTCTTCCATGCATCCACTACCCTCTCAGTAAAGTAATACTTCCTGATATTATTTTTAAACATTTGCCCCTCTAATTTAAGGCTACGTCCTCTTGTGGTAGTTTTTCTTCTTTTAACTACTTTTTTTTTAAATTAAAGTCACCTAGCTTGTGGGTTTGTAATGCACATTTATTTTATTTTTTTATTTAATGCAATTGAATGAGAGAAGGGACAGGAACATAAAAGCGTTAGAACGTTTATTCTGTACTTACAAATCTGAAAATGCACACAAATTGTTAAGGAATTAAATAATTTAAATATCAATATAGGGGAATGGTGGAGCAAGTAGAATTACATGTAATCTCAATAAATCTACAAAAACCCAGAGAATGATCATGTTTGAATAGCATTATACTGACATCCCCAGAATAAAAAAGCAAAGGTGATTGCGTGCACCATAACCACATCAAGCCTATTGTAGCGGTGTTGGTGCAAGGAGACCAAGGATAACATTCTTTCAGTTCATGTCAAACCATCTTTAAGCAGTTTAAAAAAAAACCTTGAGGATTCTCAAGCATAATCTAGCCTTGAATATGATAAGTAGTTTCTTGTAGTGGGGCAATCAGCAACAACATTGCATTGGTTTCACCACTGTTACGACTGTGTCCCCATAAGTGCCCTTAAACATCAGGAGTGTGAATTATTCATTATTAAGGAAAGGAGCCGGGAGAGGCCTCAAAGTGGTACTTGATTTGGTTAAGAAAACCATGGCATTCCTGAGCATTACTGCCGAAATGAGGTACAGATGGATACTATGGGTAAAACAGCAACATGTGGGGCTGGAGGAAGTCGTTGATCCTCTGGTTCGAGGTGAGCGGTATGGGCCAATAATGTCTAAATGACCTGGGCGAATTGATCCATACGGTGATCATTATCTTCAAGCCTTCTTTCTCATGCCAACATTTGTTGACTTAACTCTGCAGGGTCCATGACCCTGTCGTAATGTCAGGACAAACTAGTGGCCCAACACGCAAAATTAAGTAAAACACATAACAAATACAAACAGTAACAACGTATTACCGGGCCTTAGAATGGCTTTAGTCGCGAGCCGAGGTCAGGAATACAGAAAGGAACAAATACGGAAAGAACAAAGCCAAATGGTCAGGAATACCAGAAATACGGGAAGGTGGTGTCAAGGGATTGCATTAAATTAAATAAGGCTCCATCGTGGTCTAGTATATTAATTGAAGTGTAGTGTAGATAATTAGTGCATTGTCGTGTCTTCTGGTAACTACAGCTGTCAAAAACTGTGGAATGTTTAATCTCCAAATTCTATATATACATACACAGTAACATTGGACTATCAGTATAGCATTAGCTATTTGAAAAGAGAATTGAAGTGAATTGACAATCTACATTCAAGATCAAAGGCAACATAGTCAACCTGAGCTTGAGATCTTTTTTTTTCCAGCTGGGCTATTAATGTCCAATGTTTTCAAAGTGGTTATCAGTTCCTGCTGGTGTACAAACTCAACTAACACACAATTTTGTAGATTAGGTGTACAGCTGCATTTGTACTAAAGAACAAATATTATCTTATTGAAACACTACTTAAAGTCAGCTAAGCATTTTTAAATGAAGCACATTAAACACCTATTGGCAAGAGTAAATGTACCAAGAAATCAAACATAAATCCAAGATCTTGGTGGGTGTGAGCCTTGCAGGATACAGGATATAAATACAAAAGATGCCCTCTTTAAATTGACGGGTTGCACATTTCATTAACCTGTTAAATTCAGGATAAATATTTCGATCATATCATTTGATGGATATTTATTGTTCCTGGTTTGTTTACAATGTCAATAGCATTTTATGTAAAGGAAGCTTTTATGGAAGTAAAAATGATTTTGGAATGTTGTAGATTACGATAGGAAAGATTCTAATTTTGCACTAAAAGCAACAAGACAGGAAATTGACAGTCTTTTTTAGAAGCCACTTAGTCACAAACACTGGCCAAAATTGGTGTTCAAATTGTTTTTTTTGCATGTTTCACACACAAACAAATATTAACACTAACTTTGGCCAGTGTTTGTGACCTTCATGGGGGTAATTCACATTCCTGTGCTACCATACAGTCTCAAAGGCAATGTAACCAATCTGGCGAATTTCAATGTGAAAAAAACTAAAAAATGTAACATGCTATATTTGACCCTGTAACTTCCCAAAACACCATAAAACCTGTACATAGGGGGTACTGTTTTACACGTGAGACTTTGCTGAATACAAATATGTGTATTTTATTGCAGTAAAAGCAAATAGTATTATGACATTCACAGTTAAAATGGCACGTAGAACTAAAAACTTTTTTAAGATTCTTATTTTCTCCATTTATTTTACATTTTATTTATATTAAATTATGTTTCATACCTAAATATTTAATGTTAAATGAAAGCCCTGTTTCCCCTGAATAAAATGATATATAATAAGTATTGGTCCATTAATATGAAAGAGGGGAATTATGCCTAAACAGACATATAGTCAAATTCCAGGTTTTGTTTATGTTTTGTTTTGATCACAACATGTACATTTGGCTCAGTCCTTAAGGGGTTAAATATATGTGCTTCTATTTCTAATGTACACATTGTGTCCCTTCACCATTAATGCAGTCAGGGTTAGTTACTAAAAGGGGAAATCAAAGAAAATTTCAAACCTGCAAACTCCTCCACAACCGTATCTCCAAACTACATAAATGATCTTTGATTAACAAATACCGTACTTTTCTCCATTGCCAACAACCTTAAACTCTTATCCTATTCCCCAACTGTCAAATAAAGATCTAGGGCAGTCTGTTTCTAATGAAATCATACTTGAACCAATCAGCCTTTTAACCCCTTAAGGACCAAACTTCTGGAATAAAAGGGAATCATGACATGTCACACATGTCATGTGTCCTTAAGGGGTTAAAGGACCACGATAGGCACCCAGACCACTTCAGCTTAATGAAGTGGTCTAGGTGCCAGGTCCCTCTAGGATTAACCCTTTATTTTTCACTTAATCTTTTTTATTGATTTTTATAGCAGTATAGATTGACAATACAACACCGGGGGAGGAGCCATCAAAAAGAGATATCACTTCCGCGCTTCTCACTGTGATTTTCACAGTGAGAAGACGCCAGCGTCCATAGGAAAGCCTTGAGAATGCTTTCCTATGAGACTGTCTGAATGCCCGCATGGCTCTTGTCATGCATGCGCATTCAGTCGCTGACGCAAGAAGAGGGAGGAGATTCCCAGCGCTGAGGGAGCCTGGTGCTGGAAAAGAGGTAAGGGATTAACCCCCTCCTTCCCCCTCAGAGCCACTGGAGTGGGACCCTGAGGATGGGGGCACCCTCAGGGCACTATAGTGCCAGGAAAATGAGTTTTTCTCCTTTAGCACCAGTATACTTTATAGCTATAAAATGGCTCAGTGTGTTAGATTTTTATAAAGATTGTATAGTTAGATATAATTTGTATACTTGACAGTCTTTCTTCTTCATACGTTACAAATACCCTTAGACTTCACTTTCATAGCCACACCCTGTATGACCGACAAGCAGGGGAATATGTATAAAACGTTTCTGTTCTAAAAGTTGTGTGAGTATGGTAAAGGTCACCAATTCAATGTTCCTGGTATTGCCCCTGGTTTCCATGGTGACTGCTTACTTTTAGCACTTAAGACCAGTGGTCTCCAACCCTGTCCTCATGGACCACGAACAGTCCAGGATTTATGTATTTCCCTTTTTTTTATTAAAATGGAGAGACTAACAAAACCTGGACTGTTGGGGGTCCATAAGGACTGGGTTGGGGAACATTGCTTTAGACCACAACACTTTTTATGCACAACCCCCTTTTGTTACAATTTACTAGTAAGTTTAGTTTGTCCTATGGTATACATTGATGCTTTATGAATAATATAATAATAATACCTAATATGCAATATTATAAGAAAACATGTCAGTTCAGTATACATATGTGTCACCTAAATTTTAATAAGGAGATATATGTAATTGTTCTTTCAACAGTTTGTAAATCAATATCATGTTTTACAAAGTTTATTATTTCATTTGACCATTCATCGTGAAAAACTGAATACCATGTGTCTCTACTTGTGTGTCCTCGGGTCTTATGTACTGTGCATACTTTGCAAAGTTGCCTATTACAGTGTACGCAATTGCTACAGAGTGTGAAGATGACAGTTGCCTTTATTGATAAAAAGTTAAAAAGAAATCCAAAAATGTGTGATAGCTCATATTTTTGTAGATTTTTTTTCATTTTTTTTTCCATTTTTTTATTAGGATTAATACTATTAACATTAATAATTATGGGGGGGAGAGGTGTCATGTGCAGAATAACACATAAAAAAGCATACTACATAAAAAAGCTTGATATGAAAGTAAAATGTAGAACAACAAATCAGGCATACCCAAGCATCATTAGGCAAGCTACCATGCTTATGTTATTAACATGTTACTTAAAGCAACAGTAAAGTCACCAAAATAACTATTTTAATGAAGCTATTTTGGTGTATAAACCTTGCCTCTTACGTTTCACTGCTCAATTTTTTTTTCTGTTTATGCAGCCCTAGCCACACCTCCCCTGACTGTGACTGACATAGTCAGTCTGCATAAAAACCAAATGGTTTAAATTTTCAATTAAGTGTTACTTACTTTAAAGGTTTTTATATGCTGCTCTGTAAATTGAACTTTAATTACACACAGAAGGCTTCTAAGAGTCTGACAAGCTATTATCAGAGCAGGAGATAAGAAATTCTAAATTAAACAGAAATTGTAATAAAGGAAGTGCAAACATTAGATGACTCTTTACAGGAAGTGTTTGGGAAGCATGTGCATTTACTTGCAGGGAGGTGTGCCCAGGGCTGTATAAATAAAGTGATTTAATTCCTAATTTGCAGAAAATTGAGCAGTGAGACTACAGGGGCATGATCTATACACCAAAATTGCTTAATTAAACTAAAGTTGTTTTGGTGACTATAGCGTCCCTTTAATTTTAATAACATTTGTGTTAAAGTGGCATTTATTGTTTTTGTTACTTATGTCACTGCTTTTAGGTATAGTTTATTCAGTTAATCGGTTGGTTTTCTGATGTTTCCTGAGAGCCATTTTATCAGGAATAGCCATTTGCACTTATTTTCTTATTTCACCAAAATTCCAGCTTTTGTTAATAACCCTCTTTGATTAAAGATAATTGCATCAAAAACTTGTAAGATGTTTTTATCCATCATTCTTAACCCTCTGATTTATCTATCTATATATATATATATATATATATATATATATATATATATATATATTAATTCTGGATTAAATGAATACATGCTTTTAAAATGATTTCTTCAATAATGGATCACTTATGTTGAATAAGTATTTACACCAGGAGCAAACAATGTTATCAATACGTACTGAAAAAGTAAATATTTATTTGGTTACTCAGCAAAGTTGCTCGAATAAAACACATTTTATTTAGCAATTTATTTCCTTATATCATGTGCCCAACACCTTTTCCATTCAGTCAATTTATACTAAAATTTGATCTCTGCTATGTATTATTTCAGTTTAATGAGTGGTGTGAGGAATAACATTGGTCCAGGCATTAACATAGCTTTAATTAACGGTAAGTTACTAAAAACAAAATTGTGTAATCTATTGATTTTATAGTTTGCTAAATAGATTACATTTCTGTTTGGTCTTTGAGGTGTTTGGCTTTTTTTAAAATTTCTCTGTTATTAAGAAGTAAAATAAACGATGTGCGCTTGTTAGCATTTGGTATCTGTGCTAGTATGTGTATACTGTAATGTTGGGTAGCAGCTAAATGCATAGTTTCTGGAGGTAAACCACGACCTTGTATTGACACATAAAGATCCCAGAATGTGTTGTTTCTCTGTACCTGATTATTGAATACCTAGCATCATTGTAGCAATGTTGAAATGTCACTATGTTCACAAGAAAAGAGTGACATTTTCATCTCCATTTATAATGCCAGCTGTGGGTTAAAAGGGAAACGCAAATGCAATGAAACACTTCAACTTTAACTACATGTCTTATTATTCAAGCAAAATTGGTACATCTTATTCAAGGGTATTTAGCACTTTTATAACTCTTGATAGATAGATAGATAGATAGATAGATAGATAGATAGATAGAGATAGATAGATAGATAGTGATAGAGAGAGACAGCAGAGAGAGAGAGAGATAGATAGATAGATAGATGGAGATAGATAGATAGATAGATAGCATAGGCGTGCGCAGCCTATTGCATTAGGGTGTGCACCCTAAAGCACAAACACACGCCGCGTGTGTGTGTGTGTATGTATCTATATATATGTATATATATATATATATACACACACACACACACACACACACATACACTGCTGTGTGTGCTGTTAGTGTGCTGTGTGCTGTTAGTGTGATGTGTGTGTGAGGGTGCTGTTAGTGTGATGTGAGGGTGTTTGTGTGTGTGTGTGTTTGTGACTGTGCTGTTTGTGTGTGAGGGTGTTTGTGTGTGTATGTTTGTCCTGTGAGGGTGCTGTTTGTGTGAGTGTCGTGTATTTGTGAGGGTGCTGTTGTGTGTGTGTGTGTGTTTGTGAGGGTGCTGTTAGTGTGCTGTGTGTGTGAGCTGTATGTGTGTAGGTGCTGTATGTGTGTGTGCTGTATGTTTGGAGGGATTTGGCAGATTAGTAAATCCTTGCTGCCATGTGCCATCCCTGGTGGTCCAGTGGAGGGTGAACTCTAGCCTGCAGGGCTAGAGTTAACTCTCGCGAGATCTGAGCGTCGCGAGCATCAGACGCTCAGATATCGCGAGAGGAACCTGGCGGAGCTTCTGTCTAGAGCTCCCTGGGTCCTCTCCTGCCTCCCTCCATGCTGCTGTGGGCCGGTGAGGTAGATCTTTGGTCTCCCCGCCGGCCCATGGAGGCTTAGAGCAGAGCCGGCACTCAGATAGCGCCGGCTCTGCGCGTGTGTGTGTGTGTGTGTGTGTGTGTGTATATATATATATATATACACACACACACACACACACACACACACAGACACACTCACACACACAGACACACTCTCAAACACAAGAACAAATTATTATATTTTCATTTAAAAAAATGTCCACCCAGCCTCCTACCTGGAGTGCTGGCGTGGACTTTTCCCTGGGGTCCAGTGGGGCGGGCGCCTCTCTCCAGCTGAGCCGCGGCGAGGGAGCTCTCTGCTGTCTGCTCTCTGCTCCCTCTCGCCGCGCGGGCTGTCTGCTGTAGCTGGGAGCCGGAATATAACGTCATATTTCGACTCCCGGCATCAGCGCGCGGCGAGAGGGAGCAGAGAGCAGACAGCAGAGAGCTCCCTCGCCGTGGCTCAGCTGGAGAGCGGGGGGGGGATCCATCACCTCTTGCCCCCCCCAGGGGCAAGAGGTGAGACAGGGGGCGCTGAGTGCCTGCAGGAACAGCGTTCCTGCTCAAAAAAAGTGCAGGGACGCTGTTCCTGCAGGACTCAAACCATAGGCGTGCCACGGGGATTAGGGTGTGCCCAGGCACACCCGGCACACCCCGTGCGCACGCCTATGTACAAGAACATGCTTACATTCAAATGCTCAAACACTGCTCACAAATACAACCCTGCAACAGTGGGCAAATGGTAGATCCCCAGCTGGCATAGCATTGTTGGAGTTCTGACAGATGAGGATCTACCACTGGGATACTCCATGTGAGAAAGAGGGACACAGCACTTCTGAGTCTGTGAGTAACAAGTTTATGCCTCTAAACTGCCATGACATGCCAAAATTATTCCTCTAAAACTACCATGAGATCCTAGAATTAGGCCTCTAAAACTGCCATTATATGGCAAGTTTCTGCCTCTAAAACCGCCACAATATGCCAAAATTATGCCTCTAAAACTGCCATGATATACCAAAATTATGCCACTAAATCTTTCATGACATGCCACGTTTACGCATCTAAAACTGGTTGCCATAAAGTGTCAAGTTTAGACACCTAAAACTGACTGCATTGATATGCCAATTTAATGCCTCTAAAACAGATTGCCATGGTGTGACAATTTGACCCATCTATAGCAGATTGCCATGGTGTGCCAAATGTATGCCTCTAAAGTGGATTGCCATGGTGTGCCAATAGTATGCATCTAAAACTGTTTGCCATGGTGTGCAAATTGTATGCCTCTAAAACTGCTTAGAAAGATAAAAAGGAAAAAGAGGGTTGGCGCTAGTTAACAAAATGTGCAGCAAAAACAACAAGTGTACAGTCACTTAATACACTTACATATACAAGAAAAAAAAAAAAAAAAGTGATTGCACAAGCTGAATATAGCTCCACAGGTTTTGCAGAACGTCCCTAGGTTCTGTAAATATAGAACACCAACATAGGGTAGTATGTTTAAACATGGAATATAAAAGTGAGAAGCTTGGAAAAACTCACAATTTATAGAGCATTTATAAGTTTGCTCTAAACTATGCAGGCAGAATGCATCAATCAGATGTGCATATATCTGTGTTAGGTCCCCCCAGAAGGTGCTTGCAGTCCTCGGTTAGGAAGATCAGGAAGCAGGTAGCCAGGTGTAGATATAATGAATATAATTTATTAATACACAAGAGAAAACAAAAAGCACAACGCGTTTCGACCCAATATAGAGGGTCTTCCTCAGGTGAAATATGTGGGTTACAACTAGAATAGCTCTTATTTTTATATGACAAACAATTAAAAAATGATTACAGGTGTGTGTAAAACAATCCCTCCCCTTTTCCCATGTAAGGAATACTTCTGGTCTTAGCCGCGCATTCCCGCCTCCCCCAAGATGTCCACCATCGCCCCACATTCTCTATATGTCCGTCTTGACCTTCTCAACATGGCCGCAATACGCGGCTAGCTCCGATTCATCACTTCCGGTTTTCATCCTAGTCGGCAGACGTCACTTCTGGTTTCGTCATTGCGGCGCCATACCCGGCGGCCGCGTAGTGACGTATTCATGTTCATCAGAGGGAGGGGTAGGCGGAATGCATCCCAGTATCATTTAGAGTCCATACAGTGGCCATATTTGAAGAGGGAAAGTATAAGGGCAACAGAAGAATCAAATTATTAGATATTAATTCAGTCAAAATACGATATATTATCACAAAGAGTAGAAGATGAGATGCAAAATATACATAAAGTGCTGACAGTTAAAACTAAAATATAATCGAATAAAAAAAGTCTATATAAAAAAATAAAAAAAATTATCACTCAATGAAAATTAGCCATATAGGACACATTGCATAAAAAATATATACATTAAACGAATAATGCTTAAAGGACATAAAGATAAGAATGTAAAAGCTAATTGGGACTACAAATAAAAATAAAAAAAATGTTTTATATTATAAAATGGGACCTATCTCAAAGTCAATATTTAATCCTTTAGGACATAATGTTTGGAGCGCAAAGATCCAACTAGATTCCTTTTTACTTAGATTAAATGTAGTATTCCTTCCTCTACAATGGGTTTGGACCTGCTGTATTGCTGTAAAGTCTATTTCATCAGGATTTGAATTATGTTTGATCAAAAAATGAATAGACACACTATGATTTACGAATCCATTTCTTATGTTTCTAACATGTTCGTACATCCTTGTCTTCAAGGGTCTGGAGGTTTTACCTATGTATTGTAAGCCACAGGTACATTGTAATAAATAAAATTTTTAGAGTCACATGTAATAAAATAATTAATATTAAACCTTTTAGTTATGTTAGATACAAAGTTATTTCTTTTTTATGCTCACGTTGGTATTTTTGCAGGCATAAGAATTCCCACAATGATAAAATCCCTTCGCTGTCTTAGACCAATTACTTAAAAAGTATTACTGTCCACATGTTTTTCTACACAATTAGACGTTAGAATCTGCTTGAAATTTCTTGCCCCACTAAAAATAAACTTGGGGTTATCGGCAATGAATTCGTGGTCTTGCTTTAAAATGTTCCAATTTTTCTTTATTACTGCAGTAATCAAAAATCAACGGGATTTGCTTAGTTTGTGTGTTTTAATCCCTCTTTTTATAGTTTAATAGCTGGGGTCTATCCAAATCTTTTACGTTATCTATATCTTCCTGACGTTTTTCTTCACTATATCCCTTTTGTAAAAATTGTTTTAAAATTGACGACTGTGCAAAAAATAAAAATAAAAAAAACCCGACATGGTCTGAGCAGTTTCTTTTTAGTCTTAAAAATTGACCCTTGGGGATATTCTGAAGCCACGCATCATGATGCCAGCTACTGGTTTCTATGAAACTGCTTATGTCCACTTGTTTAAAAAAAAAAAAAAAAAAGTTTGGGCCTTAAAACGTTGTTCAGAAACAAATATTAAGATCCAAAAAGTATATAGTTTCGGGGCTTACACTCTTCGTAAGATTAATCGCCCATTCATTAAAATTTTAATAATTAAAAATTTTTTAATCTATTTCAGACCCTTTCCAAATAAAAATAGTCTATATAGCGCCTGGTGTATGAACAAATTTTCCCAATAGGACATAAATAAGTTGGCATAGCTGGGGGCAAACCTGGTCCAGGGAAGAAATAGCAGTGCCTCTAGTTTGCAAATAAAAATGCCGTCAAACCAAAACAAGTTACTGGTTAAAATCTCTATTCCTTTGACAATAAACTCAATCTGAATATCTAAAAACACATTTGACTAATTTAAAAAGAAAGGGACTGCCTTTATTCCTTTTGAATGGTCTATTATTGTATATAAGCTTGTGACATCACAAGTAATCAATAAAAGGCCTTCCTCCCATTTTTGTTCTTCTAAAATTTTTAGAAGACTCCTCGAGTCTTGCAAATATGAGGGACATGTTCTATCTAGCGGTTGGAGAAAGAAATCGATACATTTCGCTAAAACATAAAATGGAATCTATCCCAGAAACAATTGGTCTGCCTGGTGGATTAACTAGACTTATGTATTTTAGGCAAAATATACAGAACTGGTATTTTGGGGTGTTTAGTCTAAAGGAATGCTAATTCATTCTTATCTAGTACCTCATTCTCGAGGCCTTCTGCCAATAAGCTCTCATATATTGTTCTCTCAGCAGTGGGATTTTTATTCAACTTCTTATAAGTAGTAGTGTCTCAAAGTTGTCTTATTTCATTTAGATAGTCTTCCATATCAAGGACTACTACCCCACCTCCTTTATCTGCTGGCTTTATTACAATAGAAGGGTCCCGTTTCAAATCTTTTAACATTTGTTTTTCTTTTAAGGTCAGATTCTGTTGATATTTTGAAAGGGGTTTTGTATAACTCTTCGAGGCACGCCTTTTCATATACTCGCATACTTTGTGACTTAAGGTGTTGGGGGTAAAAGGTAGATTTTTTCTTAAAATTAGTATGAAAAATCTTATTTATATCGGAGGTGTCAGGAGCTGGTATCTCCTCTATATTACTTTCCATTTGTAAAAAATTTTTAAACAAAGCTTCCTCGTGAACCTATTTATATCAATAAAGGCCTCAAACATATTTCTTAAAAATTTCTCTATTGGTAGGAGTGTTTTTTGATAGATTAAAAATTATTTCATTTTTATTATTACTCTCTTTATTTCTTTATCTATTTCTCCCTCCTCTAGAACAGCTTGCCATGGTGTTCCAATTTTATGCATCTAAAGCTGCCAGGATGTGGCTATTTTATGCCTCTAAAGTGGATTTCTGTGGTGTGCCAGTTGTGTGCCTCTAAAACCGATTACCATGATGTGCCAATTTTATGCATCAAAAACGGATTGGCATGGTGTTCCAATTGTATGCATCTAAAGCTGCCAGGATGTGTCAATTTATGCCTCTAAAGCAGATTGCCATGGTGTGCCAATTTTGTGCCTGTAAAGCTGCCATGGTGTGCCAAGTTTATTCATTTTGAAAATATGCATTAAAATAAAAGCGAGTGGGTCTTAAAAAAAAAAATCAAAAAAAAAAATCATCATTTTCAAAAGTGGGTCCCGACCCGTTAAAGTTTGAAAAGCCCTGGCTTAGAATATTCACCAAAGTGTGAATTGTCAGAAATTCAATGTGAATATTAATTCACATT